CTACTTTTTAGTGTGGGACTTTATATATGTGATGTATAAAGAGCGAGATAGATAAAGAAATAAAATTGCGCATTAAAAGTTATAATTTTTAGCTTAATGATAAGTATTTTATCATAACACATTAACACCAAAGGGGAAGAGAGTGTGATGAATTTTCGCAAAGCTGATTAATAATGATTTTTTGACATGAGCTCGCCAAATCCATGTATTACTAGGCTACTCTATATATTGCGTAGGACCCCACACAAAGTAAATCTTTCGAGCATAATTAGGGAATAAGAACCAACAAATCATCGGAGTTGGGATTGTTAAATTAAAGCCACCCAGACACGCGACAACTACCACAGTCAAAGTGAACTCGAGACAATATGAAAGAGCCAAAGCCAAAGGAGGAAAGGAACAGTCAATTTTGCGTCCCACCAAAAAAAAAGCCTTGCAAATGTCCGCTTTCGGTTTTCACGTGACTTTACAACCCCACTTGTAACAAATTAGCAAGTTTTCAGTAGCATACGTGGCAAACTAGAGTTATAGGAATCCAAGAATCTCTATAATAAAGTAACTCTCCTCTCTTAATGATTTTTGTATAAACATCAAGAAAAATAACATCATTCCATTCATTTATAAATTTATGCACAATCGAATTATCTTTGTATAATTTAATATATATATATATATAATTATTTCTACAACCGCTTTATATACAATAATGACTTGTGTATGATTATGATTTTCCACATTTAATCTTTTCATTTTTGTATGGATATAATTTCTCACATTTAATACTTTTATGTATATATATGACAAGTATTTGATTACTTCACGTACAATAGTTGTAGAAATATAAACCCCATATATATAGTATTTGTTTATAAGAATAATAAATTTTATATTCAATTTTAATAGTTGATTTTATACATATGACGATTATAATTGATTGAAGATTAATAATTAATTAATAAAAATAATCCAATTAATTAGCGTCGTTTGATAGAAGAAAATTAACTACTAAAATTGAGTGTAAAATTTATTATTCTTATATCGGTTTAAATTGACCATGTCCCATGTATATATATAATTTATTTTCTCTTATAATTTTTTAATTTGATTTTGATCCAATTGTAAGGAAAAATAATTTATAAATATAATCTTCCTTTTTCTTTCGGAATGTTATTCTCCATCTGAAGGAATGTGAACAGTAATTCTTGTAGAGAGAGATTGATATTTGAATTTTTTGTTTTTTGTTTTTTTTAATCATAAATGATAGGACCCACATATGTCTGTATCTGCTGGAAAATGGTGTTGTTATCAGCAACATAAGAAAATTCATCCTCTTTTTCTTTTTCGGTAAAAAAATATAATCCTTCTTTATATATATAATTATCTTTATTTATAAAAGAATTATATGCATCCAGTAAAAGACAATAAGTACACGACCTTCGCCCATTTTTTTGCAACGCATGAATCAGCCTACTGGCCAATGGGTCACAGAGATAGAGGGGCATGAGCGAGTCTCGTTGCAACGTGCCCGAATCGGACGCTCAAAAAGTGACAAAAGTAACACAGTAACAATTTATTTATTTTTTAAACTTAAATCTGCACCAAGAGATTATTTTAAACATAGCTTTAATAAACTGCTTTATTAACATTAAAAATATGGATATTCTAACTCATGAGTGTCTATTAGTCATTGTCGAAATTCAATTATAAATGAAATGTCTTTGCCTGCAGCCGATAAAGTAGTTTCTAGTCTCCGGTCTCCAGTCTCGAAAGAGGCCAAATCTCTGTCCGTTATTTTGACAATTCCGTAACGAGTCCTTGGTAAAGAATGTACATAAGTAAGGTAGAGATTCAGGGGGTGTTTGTTTCAGGTTTTTTGAAGAGGATTATCGGTAATTTTTCTTTGGTAAATGTAATTATCACGTTTGGTAGAAGGAATAAATTACGATTCCCGGATATCCAAGGATTACCGGTAATTTGATTTATAAAGAAAAGTCACTATTCAGATTACCAAAAATAATATGGTAATTCGGAATACCAATCAGAATACCAAGTAAAGGGAAAGCACAATAATAAATTTTAAGACAAAAATACCCCAATACACATAAAAATCTAGACCCAATCTATCAATTACAAAAGTAAAATAGTTTGGGGTTATTTTTGTAAAATAACCTCATATTCCAAGTCATATTTCGTTCTAAACCAAATATGGAATCAGTAATTTTTACCCAATATTCCCGGTAATATTTTGGCGAACCAAACACCTCTTTCGTAAGATTCCAGGTAAACTCAATTTCTACTGAATTCCCATTAATCATGATTCCCGGTCACCAAAAAATTTCTCTTGTACCAAACACACCCTTAGGGAGCAACTAAGGGTGTGTTTGGAAGTCACTCCTAGGAGGAGAATATTTTCCTTATATCTTTTCTTTATTTATCAGTTTAAAAAATAGAAAAAAAATTAATAATTTTTGTACAACCCTTCTGAACCTTAAAATTAAAATTATCTCAATTTGAAATATGGAAAGGTAAATACATTTCTTACACACCACCAAGAGCGATTAAGATTCATCGACTGTGAAGCACCACCGTCCCTCCACTACTAGAAAATATCATATTTTTAATGTAAATTTTCCGTCGTAAAAGATAAAAATTTCTTCGAAAACATATTTTTCAATGGAATTCTTTATGGAATTTTTTCTGTCAAAAAATAAATTCTCGTTGAAAATTTTGAAAAAAAATAATCCATTGAAAGTCTAACTTTTCCATTAAAAGATAACTTCATAATATAATATTTATTGAATGAATTTTCAACGGAATAAATTTTGGTCAAAATTTTAGAAATGTTTTCCGTTGCAACTTTTGACAGAAAATGTTTCGTCAAATAATTCAACAGAATTTAATTTCCGTCACAAATGTCCACGAAATTTTGTTTTTAACAAATTATCGTCACTAATTATTTGTAAAATATAATAATTATACTTATTTTTTAGGAAATGATAAAATTATAAAAAAAAAATCGTCAACTTTGATTACCAAAAAAAAAAAATCAACTTTTTATTTTTCTCTCTTATCACATTTTTAACTCTCAAATAAGGATAAAAGAATACTCTTTATTTTTCTTCCTCTTCCTTTGGATTTTGTTCCTTTCCTTTCGAAACTCGCAAACACACTCTAAACCTGATGGGTACCAAAACACACTCTAATTCAAAGGGTACCAAATCGGAACAGTAGCAAAGAGAAAGCAAGAGCTTGCTTTTAGATTAATTTGCGAGTTGATAGTAGTGTTATCAGACCTGGCTTGAACTGGTCGAGTCGACCCGAAATCTAATGAATCGGTTCAAGTTAAGTATTGAACCGACCATGTATTGGATCTGATGAAAATCTATTCGAACTTGCGGATTTTATCAAAACTGCTGACTTAATCGGGTCATGCATTTTTATTTTAAAAAAAAAATTGTCTCGTCTTGTTTTAAAAAATGTGAAACTCCATTCAAAAAAATTTGTAATTTTGTTTGCTAATAGTATATTGCCTACATCGACCTCAAATTTCAACTTTAAAGACTGAAACAATTTGCGGAACAGTAGATTAAGAGAATGTGACATATTGATTCCTTGAAATTTATTTTTATGGGAAGAATTGTTGCGAAATGTCTTATAATTATTAAACATTGTCAGTTAATGAAATTTGATAGAAGAATTATATGTGGTTATCTGATACTTAATTTATGATTATTATTATTATTTTATTGTATACTTTATGTGATTATTATTATGACTTTTTTATTATTATAAAAATTATATATCTATAGCACTGTATAACAATTTTTTATATATAAAAGATAAGTTTTTATTTATTAATCCGGATGATGCGATTTAATTTATAATTCATCGGTTGAACTAATAACCTAATATGCCGAACGCGGGTCGGGCATAATAATATTGGTCCGTAATCCCTTGCATCGACGGTTCACTCACTAATCACTATCGTTGGGTCAAACTCTCTTCCTTATTTGTCAGAGCTCACAACGCACAAAAAAGGTCCAGCCAGCCTGTTCTCCACCCGTTTCCTCACAAATGGACACACCACACCAAGGGCAATTACGTCATTCTGAATCATTTTTCCCGGTCCCGTGCGAGTTACTTACACGTGAAAACGGACCACATTCGCATCTTCATCAGCAGCAGCGCGCGTGCGCCTTTTTATAACTGCTAATATACTGTGCTTTCTTTATCTCGTAGCATTTGAGGTCAATGCTTATTTTATTTATAATGGATCAAACATTTGGCTTGGTACACTACGGAATCAAAGAAATAAATCAGGTGATCAAATAGTAGTAATACAATTGATAGCAAAAGAATTGAGTAAGTAAAAAAAAAAAAAAACCTCAATTCGATCCAAATATCACCATTCCTATCCGTATCACACTCTGTAATTCTGTATTAGTCTCATAACCGACTGAAAAAATCGAAGATAACAAAAATGCTGAAAAAAACCAACTCATCTTACAAAAATAATTAAGGTTTAATTAACTTAAAAAAAAAAACAAGTGACGTGATACACAGTTTTTGCAATGATTTTTGTAACAATCTGGTCAGCTCTGAAAAAATCCACATGCTGAGATAGCAACACACAACAAGGGTATCAAGACAAATGGAAAGACAAGCTTAATTCTTGACAAAAAAAAATATAAGTTAATAAAGAATTAAAATTTAGAAATGGGGGAAATGACAACTAAAATTCATGAAATGGTCAATGGTTCATGGAACTCCTTCCATTACCTGGTCTTCCCCCAACCCCCCCTTCCCCTTCACGAACAATTCAAACCCTCCCATCTGTAAAAATCATTGAAAATAATTTTAGAAAAAAAAAAATGAAAAAAAAAAAATACATTGGGAAAAAAAAGCACATTGATTGGACCACGCTGGAAGCCAATAAAGAAAGGAGCGCGCCATAATTCACGATACGTACGCACATTTTCAAGAGCGACCCACCACCTTGTCTTGTCTTTTCCTCTTTTTCTCTTTTTTAGAATTTCAACAACTCTTTTTGAAGTTTTATTAAGGTGTGAGCGATGTAGTTGGAGTCCTTGACTCCGGAGGTGGGGTCTGACCCTCGGACCCTTTTGAAGGATCATCGGAGGACTGTCTCAAACCCTCATCGGTCTCGCCTCGGTTCATGTCCTCAATCATTCGCACCACGTCTTGCATGCTAGGCCTCTGGTCAGGCACAACCGAAACACAAGCCATCGCAATCTGCAACAACTGAACCATCTCCTCCTCAATGTTATGGAACCTCATTAGCTCGGCATCGAACACTTCCGCGGTCCACTCTTCACGAACCACTGACTGGACCCACCTGGGCAGATCAATACCCTCCTCACCCAAAGAAGCTTGGTTGGGTGCTTTCCCCGTTAATAATTCCAACAACAACACACCAAAACTGTACACGTCAGACTTGAAGCTGGCCTTTCGGGTTTCTACAACCTCGGGTGCCCTATAACCCGCGACCCGGTTGGACGGGGCTCCGTTGCCGAACATGGGGTTGAGTCCAAAGTCCGAAACGCAGGCGTCGTGGTCCGGTCCTCGAAGGAGGATGTTGGAAGATTTGATATTGCCATGGACCACCTTGCCTGACACGTGGAGGTATGCCAAGCCTCTTGCGGCTCCTAATGCTATTCTCCTCCTGTTGTCCCAGTCTAGCGGGGTTCGCCCAGATCCTCTGCTCCCTGTTATAATTAATAACAACCCAATGCAGTAAATTTGTTAGTCAAAATATACAATCGAATCCAATCCATAATGTAATCCTAACCAATCAATATCGTGTCTACTGCTAGAGTCACAAAAACTATCTCTCTTTAATGCTATATCCTCCCATAGTCCTTTGCCGACGCCGTTTTAGCTAGATATAAGAATGCATTAATTTCATGACTCCACAAGATATAAATATTTCAAGTAACAGTTTGTTGGATTTTTTATTTTATTTTTGGAGAGAACAGAACCCTTTCAAAAGCAAAGCAAAAAAGCAACACTGTCTGCGGTCCCATCCAATTTGGCTTTCCTCTTTCTTGGGTTTTTTTTTTTTTTTATTAGGAAGGCAAATAGACATTTTTTTCTTTCTTTTCTATGAAAAGAAAAATATAAAAAAAGGCGAGAAATAATGTCGGTGAGAGTGTGAGACCATACAGGTAGTAATATAGCATATCATGAGTGCATGTTGTTTGGGTTGAGGGGAATGCAGGAATGGCAAATTAAAGAAAGACAACCTCACTCATGAGTTGAGAATGTTTGCTCCAGAAGCATGAATCAAGCAAGCACAACAGCGCACTCCACGCTGCTTTACAAACTTAACACTTACGATACTCTCCAACTATTAAACAATCCTGCCCATTCATTATTTAATAGAATTAACATGATTCCACTAATAATACTACATTGACACACTAACCACCTTGCTCACCTCCATCATCAACGTTGCAGCCCACACAGTTGATAACAAAAATAAGGATATTAAAATATTTCGAGCCATTAAATAAAAAAAAAAAAAACAAATTTCTACAACTATAACAGCTGGAGCTGGAATTGAGTCAAAATTCCAGAAATAAACAATGCCAATTCCAATTCCAACAAAAAGGGAATATTTTCCCGAATGAACAAAACGAAATGCCAGAAAGGCAAACCCTGGAGAATGTAAAAATAATATTCCGAGAAATACGAAGCATTTTGCTAACTAGTACTAGTGTGATTGCTGAAATCAAATTGCATGAATTAATAATAATCAGATAATTAAAATTCATGAACAGGATAGGAAATTTAAATGATAATATCATACCGTGAAGCAGAGCAGACAAACTACCAGCAGACATGTAGTCGTAAACGAGCAATTTCTCATCCTTGGAGAAATAAAAGGCTCTTAGAGGAACCACATTTTCATGCTTGATTTTACCCAGAACCTCCATTTGCATCTCAAACTCTTTTTTGGTCACAACAACATCCTTCAACCTCTTCACTACCACCGTCGTCCCTTCTTCCAACACCGCCTTGTACGAAGTCCCCACACTCCCCTTCCCCAAAACCTCCGCCGAAGCCCTCAGCAAATCCTCCAAATCGAAGCTGTATATTCCTCCTTCGAAGAACACCAATTTGTTCCTCTCCGCCTCCGCCGACCCACCCGTGATATCGTCCTTCGACGACGACGTTCCTGCCTCCGCCGGTGCCGCACGTTCCGCAATCACGGCCTTCGGCGGCTTAGCCGGTTGCCGGCGTTGCCGCCTGCGGAGGCAAAGCAGCAGGAGTAGCAGCAATAACAAGACGCCGAGAACAGACCCAACAACGATTCCGATAATGGCACCAGTGGAGAGCTTTTTGGACTTCTTCCCCGCCGGGTTCGCCGGCGAAATGGACGCAGGTGACGGCGCCGGGGCAAAAAACGGGGTACAATGTTTCAAAGGTGGCCCGCAGAGATCTGAATTTCCGGCGAATGAGGATTCGGGGAACTTGGAGAGTGTCTCGGGGATGGAGCCGTTAAGGCTGTTATTGGAAACATTGAAATCAACCAATTTGGCTGTAACGCTTGGGAGGCTACCGGAGAAGCCGTTGTTCTGCAAGAAGAGACCGGTGAGGTGGGTCAAGTTGTTGATGGAGAAAGGAATTGATCCGGTGAAGTTGTTGGTGGAGAGATCCAAGCGATTCAAACGAGTCAAGCGAGTCAAACTAGGAGGGAACTCGCCAGAGAACTGATTCTTCTGGAGGTAAAGGCTGCGAAGGAAGGTCAAATCGGAGAAATCAGAGGGGATCTCGCCGGTGAGGCCATTGGAGCGGAGACTGAGGACCCGAAGCTGTGTGAGGCGTCCGATTGTGTTGGTCGGAACCCGACCCAAAAGGCCAACGCCGGGTAAACGGAGGGAATAGACAAAGGAACGTGAAGAGTCGCATTGAACACCGACCCAGTTGCAAGCCGAGTCGGAAGCGTTCCATTGGACTCTGTTAGAGTGTGGGGTTTGGGAGATAAAAGCAAGGAGGGCTTGCTTGTCCCGTGTTGGCTCAGAGTTGACTCGGACACTCAGTTGCAGAACCAAATGCAGAAACACAAGAATAATATTAAGCAGCGCCATTGGGTGTGTCTTTATGGAAACGGAATTAATGAAAAGAAGAGGAGAATGAGGAATGGGTGTTGAGGCGAAATGCCATAAGAAAAGGAGTGATAGGAATTGAGTGAGGTTGCGTTTGGGAAAGAGAACATGAGAGAAGAGAGGTTTAGTAAGAGAGAAGGTATCACGAGAGTCTCAAAAGTGAAGAAGAACTAAATAATAAAGCAGAGATACCAAACACAAACCACTGACTGTAGCTCCCACTGGTCCCAACTCGTAACTCCCTACGGTTTTTCTTTTATCATTTTTAATTCTCCCAGTCAATTGTTTCTACTACGCTTTTTCACCGTTCTAATTATATCCCACGCGCTTTTTCCTCGCGTGTACATTTTTTTTGTACGATTATGACATGGCAAAGAGTGAAAATAAAAAAAGGTGGACAAAATAAAACAAAGAGTGTGTTTGTCGCTGTCTATGGTTATGGTTAAAAGCTTTAACCAAGGGACAAGGTGTAAAGTAACGATTTTAGGACATCAAGTTTTAATTTATTAAGAATGCACATAAATATATACGAGGTACTTGTATAGAAATGCATGATTGGTGTAATCGTGTGGAAATGGCTAAATGAAGGAGATGTGGGCCTAGTTTGATCGGACGGTTCAGGTCCGTGAAAAGGTAGGTATGTGCTACGGGGAATTGGCTTCTGATGCTATGACCTCTGAAGTCTGAATAACAACTCAGATATTCAGTACACTTGTATGAATGTTGAGTTTTGACTTGGTGAAATGGACGGTGATCCAACCATTTGGATTGGAGTTACGAAGGGAGGGTTTGATTTGACCACAACAATAGTGCAATACGGTCGTATTGAATAGCGCCTTTAGCATTAATTTGTGTATTAAACCGGCTTATAATCAACTTCATATGTTCATACAATTTTAGTAAGAAACAAATAAAATCTATACTTCATTGTATTTTTTAAATATTTTACTATGCTCGTTTATAAATAAGACTTGCATTGCATAAAATAATTACTGAAGGGATCAAATAATAAATTTGTTAGCAAAAAATCAATTGTGAAAAAAAAAACAATCGTTTCTTCCGTTCATATGGTCAATATGTCATACTGAAATATTTTGGTGTACAACAAGTAGATATAACATAACTCTATCTATTTACTAATTGCAAAAACGTAAATATTATGAGAAAAATATATGTCCTTTTAGAGAATATATAATTATATTATTTTAAGTGAGAAATAGACATAATCTAGTATTATTTTTATTTAAAATTTAAATTTAAAAATGAAATTCATTTTATCTTCCATAATTTTTATTACTTATGTCTTTTTCTCAATTAAAATGACATAATTATATGTCCTTTAAAAAACAACCACTAAACCTAAGTATTATTCCGTGAATACCTGTAGAATAAGTTCACGGTTTTTCTTGTTCTGTTGATGATGCTCCATTAGACATTAAAATGTATATGGTACTTATCAATAATATTTTCGTACGACTCTAAATCTTCTGCGTGCCACAATTTAGATGTACACCGGTGTCATGTATCTTAAATTATAGATCCGGTGCCTTACCTACTGAGATTGAAACGTAAATCCTGTAATGAAGATGTTTTCATATCAACTACATATGTAACAGATGCTTTTATATTCTTTAAATCTGTTTCCTTAAGTATTTTCTGGTAGTATTCATGTGCTCATTAAAAGCTAAAGAGTTTGACAGTCATTTGACATTTAATAGATATATAAGATCAATTTGTTATTTTTGATGTTCCGTTAAGGTTGATGCTTCTGACATTAAGATATAGGCCTGGTTCCTTGCATTTTAATTTACTACTATATATGAACTTCATATACTATTTAAAAAATAAATACCTACCTTTGAGATTTAAATATAGATGCTGCATGTAGATGATTCATATCCAATGCGTATTTTTTGTTGCACAAAATAATAGTAAGACCATTTGAAAATTGGACATCCTTGACGGATAATTGGGCCCTTTAAATTTGTTGTGTTTGCGTATCCTTTCTTGTTCTAATTTTCAATAATACAAATGATTAGTGTTAGTCAATAACACTAATAAAATTGTTATAAATTTTTTATTTTTTATACAAAATTATTTTAATATTAAAATTATTTTGTATAGAAATATTTTTATTTTTATTTATTTAAAAATTAATCATATACGATAAATAATTTTTCAATATAATTTTAGTTGTATACTATAATACATTAATAAAATTATTACTATCGTTATATAGATACATACACATACGTATAGGCTTTTTTACCCTTTTACCCCTCATTAATTAATTAATAATTATTTTGCCCCTGATTCAAAACTATTCATCAATATGTCCATCTTTAATCGATTAATATAAATATTTAATCGATTAAATGGTCAAAACAGGCAAAAATGGTTGACTCGAGATTTAATCGATTAAATCTCCCTATTTAATCGATTAAATATCCCAACAGGTAACAAAGGATTTCAAGTCAATATAATTTTTTAATCGATTAAATAGGGAGATTTAATCGATTAAATCTCGAGTCAACCATTTAATCAATTAAATATTCATGTTAATCGATTAAAGAGGGACAAATTGGTGGATAATTTTGAATCAGAGGCAAAATAATTATTAATTAATTAATGAGGGGCAAAAGGGTCAAAAAAACTCATACGTATAACACTTTTATATTTTCCTTTATTTAATACAGCGTAAAAGAAAATGTTAGTAATATATTTTTTATTTTTTAAATATTTTTATATTACTATACGAATTTTCAAGTAAATTTTATAAATAATTTGAGCTTATTATTTGTTAGAAAAATCATCATGTTACTTTATTAAAATATTAAAAATATAAAAGAGTATATTGTTAATATTTATAAGGGTAAGATGTATTGCTGTTGTGACACTTATTACATAAATTATCATTTGTTGTACGATGGCTTTTCAATTCATTTTTAAAAACAAAGTAATCGCGTGTATGATAGTGGCCATTAATATAATTTTATGTCTTTTAGTAATTTTATATTAATCATTCAACGCTTCAATCAAAATTAATCCGGCAAAAACTTGTTTTTAAATTCAATCACTAAACATAAACAAAATATTATAATATCAGTTATTTTGAAATTAAATTTTTCAAAATTTATTCTTTTAAATCAATTCTACTATAACTAAAACATTTGAAAAGCTAATTATACATGAAGCATTGTAATTTGTACAGAAATAAACAATAATAATTTTCATACATTTTCAATGTAAACAAAAATATGTTATTGCTTACCAAAAAATAAATAAATAAGTTATTTAAATCACATTATCATATTTTTTAATAAATTTAATATATTGTGTACTCTAAATTTTATTACATAATATATATCATTAAATAACATAATAGACTTTTAAGCACTGACAATATATCAAAATTAAACTTAAAAAAACATATTATATATTCATCACAGAAATAAAATCTATAAATTAAATTATTTTACCTATCATTTCACAGACAACTTGAAAAATTAAGTCAATTTCTGGTCTTGTGAGCTTTCCGTGATCAAGAGACCTAATAACTCTTCCCCAGTTCCCTTCACATAAACTAAAAATAACAGGTCAATTATTTTCTTATAATTAAATCCTTAACAGATTATTAAAATATATTTTAGAAACATTAATCTCATTTCGAAACCTTACAATGTAAAAACAAAAAGCAAAATACTAATACAAAGTGTATCATATTTCAAGACAAAACTAATTCATATGCGCCCTTAATCTCAGAAGCACCGACAGGCCTTTTTTTAAAAAAAATTGCATGTCACACACGACAGGTGGTCAATATTGTTGGACATGCTGTCAAAGCTCTGACACGAATTTTTGACAGGTGATTAATTTTTTTCGACACGTATCCATCACTTTTTTTTTTGTCTAAATTTTATTTTATTAACTAAAAATGAAAAATTAATTTATAAGTCAATTTTTTCTGTTATAGAATTTGACATAAAAAATTAACAAGATATGAAAAATTACTTTTGCTTTATATTTATGTTTGGAATTTGAATATTTAATTGGTTATATGACTTATTATGGAGTGTTATATGAATTAAATATGAATAATATTATTGTTATGGATCCATATAAGGGACCCGTTAATTGACAGGTCCAACAAGTGGCAATCCAAGATCTGAATCAATAATAATCATGGATAAATATCCATCAATGATACTAATCCTAATACGACAGCATAGCAAGCAGGTCTGCGCCCTTACTAGAGGCGCTGAAGGCTCATCCACGCTACCCACAGGTAACCTCTATAAATACAAGGTAAACCCTAAATGTATGTTACGCTCTCTCTCTCTCTCTTACTGTTATGTTGTCACTGTGCGCACACACACGCCCCATTAGCTAACGCCGTTATAGTATTCTGTGCACAGTGATCTTTTTGACTCAAGGGTATCTCCTTCATAGATACCTTAGAGAGGGCACTAGATCCAAAAGTAACATACCAGCCTATTGGACTGGACATCTCTGTCTCAAGGACAGAACAATTATATATATTAAAAATATTATTTAATATCAAAACTTGTCTTATAACATGTCAAAATATGATATTTTTTAAAATTAACGTGTCGTGTCGTATCTCGTATTCCGTATCAGTGTCGGTGCAACATAACTCTTAATAATTTGGTTTGTGGAAGAATGCAAGGTATTCTTATTGTGCACACACACACAAATTCACAAATCATATATAATTTTTTTGGGAGTGTTAAGGAAAATATGGATTTTGCCTTACAATATAATTCTCACGTTAATTCCAATAGGATTTTTTTAATATCTATCTAGTACAAATTACAATCTATTTTCTTATAATATTTTCTCAGATTCAAAAACATAAATGATAGTAAGATAATTAAACTTTTAATTTTATCATAAAAGCTAACATCAATTAACATATAAGAAATGATAAATAGACGTAAATGTTTTATTAGAATTCTCACAAACATGAAATTGAAGGATTAAGGTCATGTTTGAATATTATTTCTAAAAATAGTTTTTTGGCTTTCAGAATAAAAAATATAAAAATATGCTTAA